AGGGCGGAGCTGGGAGCAGCAAACGAGCGTATGACCGCTCTCCAGGAGAACCTTCATCCACATCGGCCTTGGGGAAGCGAGGGCAATCGGGAGGGCTGAGGCCACCTAACCGGCGACGGGTGCCTCCTAGGAGCAAGCCACACCGCCCCTCAACCCGGCCGAACAACGTTTCCAGACGTAAGTGTTGATACCCTGGCTCTCACTTACGATCATAAAGGATATTTAGGCATCCTGGCGAGCGCCCGGTGAAGCGAACGCCCCAACGATCGAGGGCCTCCTGAGTTGCCGTGGCGCCATGACGAGGTTCTTGACAATCAATGCACAGTATCAGCGGATGATGCAATGGAAGAGATGCATGGAGGTGGTTGGGGGCTTCCCACTTACGACCGGCGCTGAAGTCGTAGGGTTCGTCAACCCAACACGTGCGGTGGAAAGGCTCGACACTGTTAGTGGGAGAGTGGAATTCGTGCCCACATTGTGGGACTCACCCAAGCTCCCAAAGCCCCCTTACCCGTGGCAAGGCTTCAAGTATGATGTCTGTTGCCTCTTGCAACGCCAAGGGTTGGTCACTGCGGTGCAACCCTTGGACCATCAGGTCAGTGCTTAAAGAGTGCATGTCGTTCTGAGAGGTGAGGCGGTTCGCCAAATTGGTCCGGACCGAAGCACAAACCACGACATGTTGGAGTAGGCTAGATCTTGCTCTGGTATTTATTATGATGTTCTTCTGCGGTGGATGCTGGACTCCCGCGCCACCTCACTTACCGATGCCGCAAGCTCCAGGTGCGCGAGCCACTTGAGCTTTTCCTGGGCGGTGTACGAGTGCCGCTTATGTTATGATGGCTGATGCCTGGAAGAGGGGAGGGCGGGCATCCTGGTTCTCAACAGAGGAATGGAGACGTTTTTTGTTGATCGGCGGTTATGTAGGAATCGGCATCTTCTCGCGTGGGGCATCGCGCCACCAAAACTCCACGCCGTCGTCGTCCGCGTCGCTAGCACTGCCCTCTGGGAAAACGTCCGCCTCTATGCCAGCCTCGGCACCCGTTTCACCGTCGCCACCCGTTTCGCCGTCGCCGCGGGGCTGGTCGTCGGCGGCAACTTTGTTGTCGGCGCCCACAGCCGACTCGTCCCACGTGTTGTCTTCAAGCTGTCCCCATCGTAGTGCTGGCGGTGAAGCTGCAATGTACACATCGATGGACTTGTTGGACTCCAGTTCAGACAGCCACTCGTTGAAAGTTGGCAGCAGGAGCTGGAGCAGGGGCCGATTGCACGTGTACGCAGAACAGTTAACAGGCAGTGCCGGAGGAGCCGGAGGAGACGGCGGAGCGGGCGGTGCAAGCAGCGCTGGAGGCGCTGGTGGCTCAGGAGGCTTTGGCGGCGCCACGCGCGCTTCGGTTTCTTCTTGATGAGGAAGTGGGTCTTGGTGAATCTTGCGATGGCTTCGCCAGGCAGGCAGGCTAGAATTGAAAATTGAATATAAGAATCAAAGTGGGGGTGTAGAAATGGGAAAAAGAGGGACCCCTTCAGTGTGACGGCTCTGGGTCCTCGTTAATGACGGGCGGGAAACCCCCAGCTGAGCCCGCAGAGGACCCTGCGTGGCAGCATAATCGCTACGCTGGCAAGAAATCTTCCGCACCCTTCAAGAGGGTTTAGATGAAATGCACATACCACGCAGCGCATGCCGAAGTGAGTGGTCCGCACGGCAAGTTTTGCGTTATCGCTGGCAGGGGCGATGCTTCTACAGGAAAGTGTGGTGTGGGAAACCGAAGCGAGTTGCCTGGAATTTATGCACGATTCCACGTGATGCGTGATCGACTATATTCGCCTTACTGTGTGCTTTACTTTGGTATGGTTTAAAGTCAATTTTTTGTTTTACATACCGTAATCACCCAGACATACCACCCGTCGAAATTGAACACCCCCCGGGTGGCTTGTGCGGTGTGGGTGCTATAGCGGACCTCGTTTCTACTATACCCCCCTTTTGGGGCGATCCGGTATAAGACCCGGGGGGGGGGGGGGGGGGGGGGGGGGTTTATGTACGGCAAAAATTGCTGTTTAGGTCTAAATTTCACAGGGTTTCTAATGATTAACCTGCTACATGTTAACATCAGCACAAACAAGCTACTTTTGAGGCCACACATCGATAACACACCATCACACGGTCTTTCCTTTATTCATCAACGGCCTACTGGCATCCAGACAGATAACTTGCTACCTACTCCTCATCATCCGTCCTCCCTTCCTGCATCAGTTAGAGCACTACCTACTCCTCATCGTCCCCAGCATGCCATTCCTCAACCTCCTCTCCGTCAAAGCGGTCGGGGAGCCACCAGTCATATCCGGCCTCGCTCCACTCTTCTGCGTCCCCACTTTCTCCAGCTCCGTACCCCTCCGCATCTCCGTCTTCCGCCTCCGCATCCTCTGCGTCCTCCTCCACATGCATGGCATCGTCGTCCGCCTGCAGCGCCTCGACCGGCACGCGGGCTTCTTCGAAGTAGGGGTTGACGACGACCTCATCTTCAACCACCTTGTTCACATCCTCCAGAACTTCCACCTCACCCTTTTCCCGCAGATGAGCGAGGATGAGGTGGTTTTCGCTGCCGTCGAGCTTGGTGGAAATCCCGCAGGTGACAAAGGACTTCTTGACCAGCTCATCTAGGACCTCTCGCCAGGACCCGTCGATCCACTGCAGAATCGTCTCCGCAGGAGGCTTTTGCAGATTGCCGGAGGGATGGGCAGGGCACGCATAGAGATGTTCGATGAAATGAATGGGCAAGCGTGCACAACAATACGATCGGAAAGCATGGGACGGTCTCACCTGTACACGTCCTCGTATTGATCCCGATGTCCATAGCGGTGACGCATACCGGCCTTGAACGCGAGATTCACAGACACGTCCAGCCGTTGCAGAAGCGGGGTGCACCCCCCCTGGGATGACCGCCCGCGTCAGACGGAATATTCACATGGTTTGACCGACGGCTTCGGTCAAGTGGCCGCGGTAGGAGTCCAGGGCGACCAAAGACTCCCTGCGGCGTGCCGTTCCGTCGCGGATGGGCTTCAGAAACGGCACAAGAACCTGGGTTATCCAGTCCTGCACAAGACATTCGTCCATCCACCCCTTCTCTTGTGCACGGACCACCACACCTTCCGTACACAACGCAAGAGAGAAAATGGTCAGAGGGAGTTAAAGATACAACAACCAGAGTGCTGTCTTCGACACTGGACACTTACCAGCAGGGATGGGCACTTTGGGGATGGTTTTGCGCTTGAAGACAACATACGGAGGAAGCTTCAGCCCTCCCGCCGTCACTGCCAGCATGACAGTGACGCGTTCCTTCTCGTAGCCCGCAGTGCGCACGTGGACAGTCCGCGTTCCCTTCGTTTCGATTGTACGCTCGGCTGGCATCTCCAAAAATAGCGGAGTCTGATCCGTGTTCACAATCAGGTCGAGCGGGTAGTCGTTGAGGGTGCGCATCCGCATCAGGAATTCTCAGAAAGACTCGACCTTAGCCTTGCAATCTGCACACACAAACACACAGAGAAAACATAAGGTGCAAACACTTCTCAGAGAGAGAGAGGCATCCTTGCAAGTCAACTTACCCGCTGCCAACTTCTGGCCCATCTTCGTCTTCACCCGTCTAGCCAAGTGCCAACGAGCGCGGAAACGAGTCGACCAGCGGAATGAAGTGCGCCAATTCACGCCAGACATCCGATGCTTCATAAACTTGGCGCTCCACTGCTGCAGCATGTTGACGGAGACGGCGGGTCCCTCAGTGCGGTGCTTAAGAAACTGCCGATACACGGCCCGTTCCATCAACGGGTACTTCGCGCAGCGCCCTGCTCCCATGAGGCGACGGCGGCATCCAGAGGCGACCTCCAGACGCTCCCTCATCCGCTTCCACTCGCGGATCAGGACGGGCTGCACCTCCGCCAGCTTTGCCAAAGCTGGATTCGACAGGTCCGGCTGCGATTCTCGCAGTTTCAGCCAGTGGAGCTTCTCCTTCGCCGTGTACGCGTGACAAACGCGTTTCGTCATGCGATGACGTGGGGAAGGAGCGTCGACACCCGCGTTGCGCTTCGGAGGTCCCTGCAGGCGAGTTTGCTCCGGGAAGGAAGGAATCTTCACCTTCGGCAACGCCGGCAGAGGACGGGTCGCGCTGCTGCTCGATTCATCGTTGGTGGCGCGACTCACGGGAGGAGACGGCTGTGGCAGTACGGGCGGGGGCGAACAGCGTGCGCCTGCAGCAGCGGGAGACTGGGAGACGGAAGGCCGCTGCCGTTTAATCACTGTGCTACTGGAGTCTGGAAAGTTCGCCATCTATGCCTACTGAACGTTGGTGTCACAGGCCATGGAAAGCCTGAATGTAAGCAAGGAAAGGGATCGAGGAGGCAGGAGGTGTTCTCACACTGTGCTGAGCACAACACGAGTTCGTGGAATGGAGCCGCCGCACAAAAGGAAGAAGCGACTCCTTCTCAAAGCAAGGACGTGACTGCGCAAGAATGCTGAGCCTGTTGCGGGACTCCCGCATCTATGACTGCATGAATCCTCGTCGAGCGATGAGGGGGTGTGTTTTTGACCAATCAGGGCTTGATAGAGGGCATGTTGGAGCTTGCAATGTGGCAGCTTCCACTCAAGGCTACGGTAACGTTATCGATCGCCTAATCCTCGGTTTTGCGTACCCAACCAACAATCTACCACTGCAGCAAGCATGTAACGATCCGGGTGTTTCGTAGCCTTTTCCCATGACAAGACCCCCCCCCCCCCCCCCCCCCCCCCCCCCCCCCCCCCCCCCCCCCTTTTTTTTATGTAGTTATCATAGCACCCTAGGGTGGTATGTCCGGGTGATTACGGTATTACAAGCGCATGCGCTTTTACAAATGACTCAATTATAAGCGCACCCCCCTAAAAAAACAGAGTTAACTATAAGTGCCCCTGCGCTTAAATTCGGGGTGATACGGTATCAACAATAATTGTGCAGCTGGTTCAGCTCCACGCCACGGCACTAGCCAACTGGGTTGCGGCCCTGGTCGATGTCAATGCGCAGCGTGTGGTCGGGGCGGCTGCCCTGTGGTCCGCTGGCATAGAGTGCAGGCAGGTACGCCTTGTAGGCCGGGATGTAGCGCGTCACAAAGTCATGCACCTGGTGAGGAGCATGTGCGGCACAGGGCGTGGCGAGGAGGGGACAGGCGTAAGGGGGGGATGGGATGAGGAGCAGGGGAGGGGCGAAATGGAGGTGAAGGTGGAGTAAAGGGTGTGCGGGTTCACAGCAGGGAGCGCTGTGTGCGAGGAATGGCACGGAGAAAAGGGTGATGAATCAAAGCAGGAGACGCGGGGGCAGAGCAGCGGAGGGCTTGGGAAGCGGCGGGCACCTGTTCGTCCGTCATGCCGGGCTTGCCTGTAGCCCTCATTGCTACCTCCGCCTGGTGGGAGAAGCGGTGAAGCACATGAGGGAGATGAGGTGAAGCTCAACGGGGAGATGAGGTGAAGAACGAGGGGGATATGATGTGAAGAACGAGGGGGATATGAGGTGAAGAACGAGGGGGATATGAGGTGAAGAACGAGGGGGATATGAGGTGAAGAACGAGGGGGATATGAGGTGAAGAACGAGGGGGATATGAGGTGAAGAACGAGGGGGATATGAGGTGAAGAACGAGGGGGATATGAGGTGAGGCATGCAGCACAGGTGATTAACATGCAGTGATCTGTGACAGATGGACACGACATTCGCTGTGCCATGCCTTGTCATCTCATAGCACGCCATACCTGCAGGCGCCAGTCAAAGACCCAATCAACGTCTGCCACCTGGATGACGACCCACGAGTCCACCATGTCGTGCCACGCGCTGTACTGCTGCAGCCGCCCGTTCACCTCGCCCAGCTGCCATGGGGGGTGAGGGGAGGAAGAAGGGGGAGAGGGAGGGGAAAAGGGGGGGTTGGCGGTGGGAGAGAAGGGGAGGCGGAGGGATGGTGGAGGGATGGTAGAGTGTTGGTGGAGGGATGGAGAAGGGGTGCACGAGTGGTGATAGAGCAGCAGAGCACAAGCGGTGCTGTGCCCAGCGTGCGAGGTAATGCGCCCGACAGCGAAGCAGCACAGCCTGAGAGCAAAGGGGCAAGGCACGAGGCAAACGGCCAGGGAAGTATGCACAGGTGAGCACGGAGTGGCAACCATGCATGTTCCGCCGTTGCGCACACCTGAGGGTCGATGGCAGCAGCCTGGTGGGCGGGCAGGGGGTGGAAGCCGAGCATCCAGCCCTCGAAGAGCACCACGTCCACCGGCCCCTCCACCCCCGGCCACTGCGCTGACGGACTGCGATCGCCCCGCCCTGAAAAGGCCGACTGATGGGTGCAGGGGGGATGGCAGCGGGTTGAGGGGATTGAGATGGCCGGCAGGGTGCTTGGAGGAGGGGAAAGGTGCAGACGAGCATCAAAAGGGGGAGGGCAGCAAACGGGGGAGGGCAGAAAACAGGGAAGGGCAGAAAACGGGAGAGGCATCGCACATTGCCTCATTCCATTCTCAGTGCTGCGACTCTCACCTTGTCGTAGCGTGGAAGAGGGACCTTGGTGCCTGCAGGCCATGGAGGGGGGTGCACGGGAGAAGAGGCAAAAATTATGAAGAGGGAGGGCACAGAGGTGCATGTGAAGTGATGCACGGGTGGGCAGACACATAAGAGCGTGTTACGTACCCCTTATTTTGGAGCCTGGTCGCGGTTGCCTTGAACGGTCGGGTTGGGTTGAACGTAGGGTTACCAGATTACCCTAGAGTGTATAGTGTACAGTGAAGGACGTGTGTACCAGGGCATCCTCACACTTGGTCGTGGCGACCAGGCAGTCAACCAACCGGTTGGTCGCGCCCACATACAACCAGGTCGAGGCAACCAAGCTGCAACCAGGTCGAGGCAACCAACTGTTGGGTCTACCCGAAATACTATTTGCATGGTTGGTTCCCAAAAACAGACAGGTGGTACATTTGCAGGTTGCCTGCTTGGTACCCAACCGGCCAGATTTACAGCCCGGTCGACCCGACCAGTCAGGTTGGGTCGACTTTTTGAGGCAACCGGGGCCTGTCACCAAATGAAGGGGTACATAACACGCTCTAAGTGCCAGCCGTTTCCACACAGGTAGCATTCACGTCATGCCCAGCTGCACGATCTTTGCTCATGCCCCTAGTCATGACATACACACGATGTATGTTTCGATGTCCTTAGGTGTTTTCACATAACCATCACAGCGTGCCCCTTTCCCATTCCATCCCACCCTCCTATACCCTCGTTCTCACTGTACCTCCCACATCATCCCCTTCCCATCATACCCCCGCTGCACCCTCACGCACCCACCATCGCCTGTGGTGATCTCAGCTCAGGCATCCCGCACCACCTCCACTCATGTGCTCCATCCCACCCTCCACACTGCCCTCGCTGCCTCTCGTGCCAACTTCCCTCATGCCACTGTGTGCTTGCCTCACCAGGTGCCACACCAGGTGCCTCACCAGGTGCCTCACCAGGTGCCTCACCAGGTGCCTCACCAGGTGCCACACCAGGTGCCTCACCAGGTGCCTCACCAGGTGGCTCACCAGGTGCTGTGGCCTGCTTGAGTGCGGAGAGGGTGGAGACGCCCAGAGCGAGGTCGTGTGAGCCGGCGTTGCCCCTCAGCTGTGGGGAGAGGTGACACGGGCGGGCGGGCATTAGGGCATTATCACGACGACGACGACGACGACGACGACGACGACGACGACGACGACGACGACGACGGCGGCGGCGGCGGCGGCGGCGGCGGCGGCGGCGGCGGCGGCGGCGGCGGCGGCGGCGGCGGCGGCGGCGGCGGCGGTGGTGGTGGTGGTGCAAGCAGGGTGCAAGCGGGGTGCATGTGGGGTGCATGTGGGGTGCATGTGGGGTGCATGTGGGGTGCAAGTGGGGTGCATGTGGGGTGCATGTGGGGTGCATGTGGGGTGCATGTGTGGTGCATGTGTGGTGCATGTGTGGTGCATGTGTGGTGCATGTGTGGTGCATGTGTGGTGCATGTGTGGTGCATGTGTGGTGCATGTGTGGTGCATGTGGGTCAAGGAGGTGCGGCCAGGGGGTTGAGGCAAACTGGTTGAAGGATCAGGAGAACAAAGAGTACAAGTGAGAACAGCAAAGTGAGGTGCGGGGATTAGAGCACCAGGAGGCACGGGTGGAGGAGTGCAAGCAGTGGTGGGGCAACGCGCAGGGACAGAAAAAGAGAGATGGCGAGAGGGTTTAAGGGCGGGAGGGGAGCCAGGGAAGGCAAGCGGTGCAGAGGGGTTGAGTGGTGGAGCGGGTGGGGGAGGCACCTCAAGCAGGCGGTTGCCGGGATGAGCCTCGCGCAGCGCAGCCTGGGGGGCAGAAAACGAGGAGTGAGAAGACAGTGCGCATGGGTTTGTGAGCAGAGTGGGTGTGAAAGGGGCGAGCATGGAAGAGGCAGCTGGAGATTCTTCGTGGACAATCGGCATAATGCATGCATGCTGTATGCATGCACGAGGGCCATGCCTCGTGAGGAACATGTGATCATGCATGAGAGGCATGAGCGGCCATGAGCGGCATGAGAGGCATGAGCGGCAGGAGAGGCATGAGCGCATTAGGGGCATGAGAGTCATGCATTTGCCAAGAAGTGGGCGGAGTGATGTGACAGTTGCAGCGGGTGCACGGCAGAGCTGGCGCTTCAAAAATGAGAAGACAAGGAGGGAGGGCGTTGGGGTGCACCTGCTGCTGTGCGGTGAGGTAGAAATCATCGATTGACACCGTGGCTGCCGTGCTGTCCCCCCGGGCGTAAGGGCAATGGGGGTAAAGAGGGCAGAGAGGAGGATGTGAGGGAGCATGTGAGGCACAGAATGAAAGGTTATCCATAGTGAGCACAGATGCAGTGGGGCACATAATGAGCATGACGGAGAGAGCCAGACAGTGCAACCAAGAGCTGAGGTGACTGCATTGTGCGCACTGCTTGCCGAACTGCTTGCCGAACTGCCTGCCGAACTGCCTGCCGAACTGCCTGCCGAACTGCCTGCCGAACTGCCTGCCGAACTGCTTGCCGAACTGCTTGCTGCACTGCTTGCTGCACTGCTTGCTGCACTGCTTGCTGCACTGCTTGCTGCACTGCTTGCTGCACTGCTTGCTGCACTGCTTGCTGCACTGCTTGCTGCACTGCTTGTAGTGCAGCACGCAGTGCAGCACGCACCACTGTGTGACGGCAAAGAGGTGCTCCAGCGACTCCACCACAGTTGTCTTGCCACACCCCTGGGGGGCGCTGATGCCGATCTGATGCCATGCATGGGGCATGGGGAGCATGATAGCATGGGAGCATGGGAAGGACGGGGGGGTTGGGGACATGACAGATAAAGACACAAGGTGAAGTAGCGCACAAGAGTTTGTAACAATATATAGTAACACATTTATGGTTATAACCAGACATGGCTAAGAAACACGTTTATGCTTAGTACCAAACATAAGACTATGTAACACACCAACCATTTCATACCAGACTTAACATCACCAAATCCACTAGTAGTTAGTACTGCAGCGGCTTGCAGAAATACTCTCGCATCCTTTCAGCCCCTCCTTACGTTTCCCTTAACTCACAACAGCATGCAAAGGAGTGACTCCCTCCCTCCCCCTTCCTTTGCTCTCGTTGTCTCTTCCCCCTTCGTTCTCTCGCCTTCTTTCCGTCATCCTCACGCATGCCACATTCGCCCTACCCCCTGCCGCATTCGACCTCACACCCACCCACCACGAGGGGCGGCGCCTGAGTGGGTGCCGTCTTGCCGCCCTGTGCCTGGCGTCGATGTTGCTGCAGCTGGCGCCAGCACCACGAGAACACGGGCAGGTAGTACTGGAAGATTCGCCGCAGCTGCGCCTCCTCCAGTTGCGCCTGCCCCTCCCCCTTCCCCCCCACGAACCCCAGCTGCAGCGCCAGCTCGCCCCCCAGCGCGCCCCACGCGGGGGCGTCGCGCTGCACGTCCGCCTGCGCCAGCCCCGCGCGCTGCAGCAGCGGGCTGCGCGCCACGAACGCGGGGAGGTCCTTCAGGGGGATGACTTGTGGCGGCAAGGGGTGGGTGGACGGCAGGGAGGGCAGGGAGGGCAAAGAGGGGACGGCGGAGGGGGAGGTGGCGGCGGCGTCTTTGAGGCTGCGGACGACGTGGCGGCAGCGCGAGGCGGAGGGGCGGCGGGGGCAGCGCGAGAGGGAGGAGAAGGAGACGCGTCGGGGTGGGCCGGCGCGTGGGCAAGCATGGGGTTGATTCTGGCGAGGGGGGAAGGGAGTGCACATGGAGGGCAGAGGGGAAATTCGAATCCTGCCATGATCAAATCACGCACGCGACTGACGCGCGATGGCGTTCGCGCGCCACTGGTGCGAAATATTGAAGCGACGCCCAGTGACCAACCCGAGTGCGTTACGGGCATCACGCGCTTCCTACTTGCGCGTTTCCTCTGCGCCCACTCCCACCCACATTACGCGTCTGTGTTCCTTTCCAGCCTTCAATATGCCAGCACGCCCGCACCCACGGGCAGGCCGTGGCCGTCGTCGCGCGTCGCGTGTGCAACACGTACCGCGAGAGAACGCGAGACGGAGAGGTTGGAGGTCGCCACGCGGCCCGTCGCGACGGTCGTCGGCAAAGAGCGTGACGACGCCGTGTGCGACACAACGTGCGACGAGGCGAGGGCCTCCATGCCTCGTGAGTTCCGCACGCCGCCGCGTGCTCAGACTCGCAATCTGCGCCCACGACAACCCCGAGAACGCTCTAGGCTCTGTGTGAGAGGTCGAGGGACGAGGAGGGTGGCGCCAAGGCTACGACGAGAAAGCGAGCGACAGAGTGTCGGGCGTGTTGGTGGCGCGTGCAGGCGAAACTAATCCGCCTCTGCGATGACTCTGCTTGCTACCGCACGCACGACTGACTGAAGGCTATCGCCGTGGAATCTGGGCAAGTTGCAACCTGACCCCGAAGCGCGCGGAGGAGGAAGCTCGAGGGGGAATCGTTGGTTTGGTCAGTTTCAGATCAGATCGAGGTGAATGCACGTGACGTGGCATCGCTTATTGGGACTCTCCTGAAGCTGCAGGGCGCCACCTGCCATGGGATCCCCCAGTCGTTTCATCTGCTCGAGTCAATCGGGTGAACATCTGGCCGTCAATTGCCACGATTCCACTCGCCCAAAGAGGTCTCCGTTACTGCTCAATACCATCTTCCGTACAGACGCAAACATGACGAGACTTCACACTCTATAACATACCATCATGTTTGAAAAAGGAAATATCAATTACGTTAAAAATGCTTGAGACCTAACTATTCGTTTGGCGGGTGCACATTATTAGCGCGTACATTCCCCCATTTCTGTCGACTCTAAGAACCAGCGGCAGGTGTTCAACGGGCAACTTGACTTTGACTTCACTTTTCGCGAGCACGAATTAGTGAAAGATCGAAGCACGGCGATATCCCGATCACCACTCACCGTCGCTCCCATCGCCAGCGATCCAGCCGTCCTTGTGCCTCTTTCACCGCGCGTGCGCGTCGCAGCGATGGCGGATCCGGGCTCGGGCGAGGCGCAGGGCGAGGCGAGTTTGAAGGAGCGCGGCAACGCGGAATTTAAAGCCAAGAACTTCCTCAAGGCGGCGGCGCTCTACACGCAGGCTATTAAAGAGGCGCCCGACAACCACGCGCTCTACAGGTAACCGCGCCGCTCGCATTTCCTTTTTATATGCCCGTTTTTTCGTATCCGTGGATCGCGCGACGGCTGTGGCTGACTGCACGTGCGGCGCGCAGCAATCGGTCGGCGGCGTTCCTGCAGCTGTCGAAGCTGACCAAGGCGCTGGCGGACGCGGAGGCCGCCATCCGCCTCAACCCCGCGTGGGAGAAGGTGAGCACAGCGCCGCTCCAAGGGGTTTCACGGGGTTTCGCGTCCGCTTCTGCCGCCGGGATATTGACACTCACTCATGCGCATCCTCTCGTCACTTGCGATGTGCGTGTGAGGTGGTGGTGTGGGGTGGTGGTGTGGGGTGGTGGTGTGGCGTGGTGGTGTGGCGTGGTGGTGTGGCGTGGTGGTGTGGCGTGGTGGTGTGGCGTGGTGGCGTGGCGTGGTGGCGGTGCGTGTGGTGCCTCGCAGGGCTACTACCGCAAGGGCTGTGCGTTGGAGGCAATGAAGCGCTACGACGAGGTCAGCCGCGCTCAATCCCTCTTCACCGCGCTGCTGCCCTCACCTGCCCTCACCTACCCTCACTTGTTCAATTTCGAGTTTCAAAGTTGGGTCCCGGGGTGACGAGTATGTGTGTGGTGGCATGCTGCTGTGCTGAGCTGCGCTGCCCTGAATCGCTGCACTGCACTGCGCGGTGGCAGGCGTTGGAGGCGTTCAGGGAGGCGGCGGAGAGGAGCCCCGGCAGCACGGAGATGGCGGGCAAGCTGCGGCTGCTGTCCAAGCTGGCGCGCGACCACAAGCGCTCGCACCCCTCCTCGTGACCCCCGCCCTCCATGCTGCCATGGCACGCCCTGTGTAGGTAAGCCCATCGCAGGTGAGTCCATTGCAGGTAAGTCCAACGCAGGTAAGTCCAACGCAGGTAAGTCCAACGCAGGTAAGTCCAACGCAGGTAAGTCCAACGCAGGTAATTCCAACGCAGGTGAGTCCAACGCAGGTGAGTCCAACGCAGGTGAGTCCATCGCAGGTGAGTCCAAGGTTGGCGAGTCACCTGCTGCAGAACCACCCTCCTTGCCTCGACCCCCCACTTCACTCGTCCTGCTTTTCTCGCCCTTCTCCTGCTCGCCGCCGTTCCCTTTCCCCCCCTACTTGTTCGTCCACTCCTTCCCCACCCTGTCCTCGTCTCACTCGCCCTCCCCTCCTCCCCTTGTCTCGCCCCCTATCGGCCTCGCCCCCTATTGGCCTCGCCCCCTATTGGCCTCGCCCCTAGGTGGTCATCCCCGTGCCTCACTTTGCAACCCCCCGTGCCTCGCCTGCCTCGCTCATCATCTGCCCACGCCGTGCCGTGAACCACTTCTCGCCCCTCTAGAACCCCTCGCTTCTACATTGCAGCGACCCTATTCGTGTGTGCTGTGCATGTCAATGCGACCCTATTCGTGTGTGCTGTGCATGTCAATGCGACCCTATTCGTGTGTGCTGTGCATGTCAATGCGACCCTATTCGTGTGTGCATGTCAATGCGACCCTATTTGTTTAATCAGCACTCATCGCATGCACCCTCCCTCTGCCGCTCAGCCCTTTATCCCTCACGATCCTGCAGTCGCTCGCTCCCTCGCTTTGCCCCCACCCGTTCATTCCCATGCCTCTCTCATAATCCTCTCACCATGCCTCTGCCACCCCCTCCCTTCCCTCTCTCCCACTGCCCTCACTTCCACCTTCATCAATCTCTTCTCTGTATGCGCCCTTCCCCTCTCCTTCACTTCCCCCCTCATCCTCCACGCTCTCCTCTCTCATCTCACCAACCCCTGCCTCCCTTTTCGCTTGAATGGACCGTCTCTTCATGCACCCTTCTCTTCATGCACCCTTCTCTTCATGCACCCTTCTCTTCATGCACCCTTCTCTTCATGCACCCTTCTCTGCCCGTGACTCCTTGCCTTCTCCCCCCCTCCCCTCCTCCCCTCCCAGTGTAAATGCCCGAACATTACATGCTAACACAACATCATAGCACGAGAAGGAGTGTCTTGAACGAGGGGGTGCACTGCAAGAGACTTCAAAGCATCACAACCCCCCGCCCGTCCGCTCTGGCTTTGCCGCCCGGAGGCCAGGCCCCAAAATTCAAGGGTAAAAAACCATTTTTAAGACAGTGTAGTTTTTGTTCTACACTTAAAATTTTAAGGCTTCGCGTGTTTTCCCCTGATTCGTCAGGGTACTTTTTGAAGTACACTGAAACAGGCTGTCTTCGTGTCGTTTCTGTACAACAGGCCCCATATGGCCACTGGATGCAGAAACTTCCAGAACCGCCCTCAGCAGTCACGCTCACGTTGTCAGCGCGACAAAACACACCGCCGCAACTATGTTTGTGTTGAGATAGAATACGAGAATGGTGATTAGGTCAAGGGTGGTACAAGAGAGTGTCGAGAAAGTATGTGTACCCCCTAAGGCTAGACCCACTACTATAGCCTAGATGAATGTCAAACATATAATTTGACACACCCCCAAAGGCGAAGTGGGGGATACTCAGCACAACAAAACAAGGGGTCACAGGACCAGTCAAGAGAAGAAACAAAGCAAACCAAGCTCATTGTGGATCGCGAAGTCACCACACAGTCCGAGCTCGAGCAAATGGCCACAAGGCCAGTTCACATGTATTTGAAACAAGTAATACGCTTCTGATTTTGAAACATCGAACTACAAACGATTCGGCCCTATGATATCATGAATTTTTCCCTGAAATTCCTGATTTTCAGCCTAGTTTTGTGTACCTACACTGATTTTCCAGTGTTGAGATTTTTTTGACACTGATTTTTTCAGCCTTTATATCATAGCTAACACTGATCTTTCAGACTTTTCTCCAAGTGTACACTGAATCCACATTCCGAATCCATCCCATAAAAGTTATGTTTATCAACTTTCCACTGTAAAACCCATGTTTAATTAAGATCACCGATTACCGACAGAATGTGTTGTCCCAGTGGTTAGCAAAGTTTACACTGGATAGTAATGTTCCTGGTTCGAATCCTTCGGCCGCCGTGTTTTGTAAGTGCATAATGTGATTGTTAAATGAGGCTTTTGTTTTTAGAAACCCTGAAGATTCGGTCTTTTTTTTAAAGGAACCCTGAAACTTCAGAGAGGAGATTGACAGAAAGTAACAGCTGGGAGGTTACGCGAAAGTCAAAACACAGCGACCTTAAACTCGCCAGAAGGCAGCGCGATAGTAAGGACAGACAACTGGCTCGGTATTGACCAGTTGCCCAATTCGTCGCTATATCGAACCGCAATAGCAACAGTAAAACAATTAAAGTCGCATCCTTTCATATTCCTTGTAATCCTATAAAAGCTTTGTACTACTTTGCTATAATTATCTATCTTCCCCTCACAAGATTCCGCAATTACATCATTCCTACTCAGGGGTCTTAAACTTGAAAAGAGCCTGCTTTTCTCAGCCCAACATGGTATGAGAGCTCACAAGGCAAGATCCAACTCCATTAAAGCTTTTGTATACATTTGCAAGTACTGTTTAGGGTTGTACTGTAGCCAAGGTACAATTCGCCAGAACGAAACAACGGAGGTTGGCGACAGGCTTGGCGGAAAATTGCACCCCTGAGGAGTTCCTAATACGAGAAAATCCCGTCACCCAACCTTGCACTCACTGTCACAACAACTAGGTAACCTTAGGAGGCATGGCTTAGGCTTAGGAGGAAGACTAGGAGCTAGGAGATGGTATCGAGAGGTTTCGCAAAGAAGAGGAGTACAAATAGGAACAAGAGAAAGGGGAGAAGGGTACTGTCAGAGGTCCACTGGTGATCCCCGATTGATCCTAGGGAAGGGTTACAGGCACGTTGGCCTGGGGGGTTATGGGCGCACTCACCCGCTACACAAAAAAAGCCCTTTTATCCCAGTGGTTAGTGGTTGGGATTCTGACATGGTATCAGAGCGAAGATCTCGGGTTCGAATCCCGGTGTGTGCACTTCGGGCATCCCAGTGCGGGGGGGTGTCAGAGGTCCACTGGTGATCCCCGATTGATCCTAGGGAAGGGTTACAGGCACG